ATATCTGTATAGATATCTATATAGATATGTATATATAAAAATATAAAACATTAAAATGTTTTCATTTCGTTAAAGCTTGGAGGGGGTCAGCAGGTTTTTACTACCGTCTCCTTATTGGGGAGATTTTCACCCATTTCTTGTGTGGTTGTGGAAACAGGAAGTGGGGTAACATCTCCCCAACAGACAACAATACATCCTTTCCATCTGCAGGACATCAAGAGACTCGCATACCACAGGTTTAGTGATAAAGAACTCCATAAAGGGATATTAGAGGTATGCATTAAAGAAATGGACTCCAGCACAGGTTTTTGCATAGAAGGGTTAGCATGTTTTCACAGTCATGCCCCCCAAATGTGTGGTTGCCAGAACAGGAAGTGAGGCAACCTGCTCTGTTTGAAAGGGGTGGAAATGTTTGCTGGAATTCTGCTTGTAACATGGGGATGGGTGGGTTTCCATTGCATGGTCCGGACCAGGTTAGACTACAGACTGTGTGATCTGAGCCACAAGCAGGCCCACCCCAATGCAAGGGTGGTAATAATAACCATAGCAACAAGGCAGTAAAGATTATATTAGTTCTACACTACTATATGAAGACGTGTAAGGCTTCAATAATAATAAAAAAAAATACTAGATGATAATAAATTAGTGATATGTAAGCTGGCTAAAAGTTTCTTAAGTTGGCTAAAGATGTCCTTCAAAGCAAACGTGTAGTTTGTCCATGCAAGCCAACCTAACAGCTTTGCTCGAATCCCTCCCCATCAATACACCCCGACCTTTCTTCCTTCCCTCTCCCGCTGCTCCCATCAACTGCCAGAAGAGAAGAAAATACGCTGTACTTCCAGGTATGGAGGAGCGTGTGACTCACTCCATGTGACAGCACTGGGCCAATCACTAAACACCAGGCCTGTCACATGAGCAAATTCTAGAGCCTTGTTTAAAGGAGAACTATGAGGTTAGAGCTTTTCCCCATAGTTCTCCTAAGGGTAACGGGAGGACACAAACTAGCATCCTCCCGTCACCCAAAGCTCAGTATACCGCGAGCTACAGGTTGCGGTATACTGAGACGCCGCAGCCGGAACTGATCCCGACATTACTGTCGAGATCCACCCAGCTGCGTTGAGTGACAGCTGGCCCTGTCTATCTATAGGCAGAGCCAGCTGTACCCGCCCCCTCCCCCGTCCGTTCCGCCAGTCAGCGCTGGAGGATCGGAGAGGGGAGGGGGGAATCCAGTCCCTCTCCTGTCACGGCTCTCTGCCGGCACAGGATAGAGAAGTGAGCGAGCGACGGTATGTGTTCGCTCACTTCCCGATCTACTGAGCCGACCTGTGACAGTCTCATTGTCACAGGTCGGCTACAACTATGAGGTGAGTGAAAAGCACTCGCCTCACAGTTCTCCTTTAAGCTACGAGTCATAGCTTACATAAGGCGGCTTTTCCTGCCGCACCGATACTGATACTAGTATCAGTATCGGTGCCGATACAGAGTATTGGGTGAGTACTCGTAACTCGCCCAAATGCTCCGATGCCTAGCCCGATACTTCTGGTATCAGGAAGCCAGGTGGCAAGTCATTACACGCTGCCTAGCTTTCTGATTGGCCGGGAAGCCAATCAAAGTGAACCTCTGGCTGTGGCCTTTATGAGCAAAGTACAGGTTCACTTTAAGCTGACCACACACATCTGTTTGTACCATCTCTTTTATGTCAACCGACAGTCACAGTATATAGCAGGGGCAGACAAACTCGGGCCCTCCAGCTGTGGTGAAACTACAAATCTTATCATGCTTCTGCCTCTTAGAATCATGCCTGTGGCTGTCAGTCTTGCGATGCCTCATGGGACTTGTAGTACCACAACAGCTGGAGGGCCGAAGTTTGCTTACCCCTGATAGGCAGGATAGGAGACTGCCTTATTGGATATAAATTACTGGCTTGTTTAGGTAGGTCCTCCACTGGTTGGTCAATCTAAAAGGAGGCCATAAAAAGTTTGCACCGTATCATTATGAGAAATAAATGTTTTCACTCCTCAGTGAGTATAGTTGTGCCTCATACCTGAAGGTCGTCCAGGTCGTCCGGCCTATGCGGAAGGATGGGCTCTTCAGAAGCTCTCTGTGGCTGAGTTTTCTTCTCTTTCCTGGATTCCTGCACCCCCGAGCTCACCCCCTTCTTTATTTTGCACACGACAGCATACTCGGCCGTTACCTCGTCCTCCTGGGACACGCTCGGCACGCTCTCAATCTCTGTGCGAGAGCCAACACACTCATACAGGGAGGTCTTTAGGGGCGCAGGGGTGTAGGTCAGGTTGGAGTAGGTGGCATCTTCCTCAGCGGCAGCGCACTGCCAGTTTGGAGAGTGGTAGAGCGGGTCCATGCTGACTGGCCGAAGCTCTGGTGGCACAAAGAAGAAAGTTCGTAGTGATTGGTCACATGATGCACACAGGAGGTGACATCATACAAAGAATAGTGCAGAAAAGCATCTTCGGATTAACGGGAATAAAAACAAAAGCGGGATTTGGGATCTGTTTTTTGCCTCTGGAGAACAATTAAAAAGACACAAAAATGTGGCTTCAGTTACGTTTGGCTGCCACTGCCGACTTCCTTCTGAAAATTCCCCCATGAGGGAAAGTTACTGAGACCGGAGCAGAGAAAATTTGAAGCAGCTGGGCATGGCAACCAATCAGCTTCTAGCTTTCATTTGCAAAGCTTAACTGAACAAGCCGATTGGTTACTATGCTCCAGTTTTAGTAAATACCCCCTTCAATGTCTTAAAGGAGAACTATGGGGTCAG